TTCCGAATATGTTCCGGAAGCCACCTGGTCCTATGGGGAACGAGACGAACGTCATGATGGGAGGCGTTGAGCCGACTGTGCCCATCTTTACGGGAGGAGACATGAGCATGGCCTACGGTGGGCAGCCACACGGGTACGATCCCATGTCCCACATCAATACGCTGGGGGAGGAGGACCTGCTTTTGCAGTTGGGGAACACGCATCCGTCCCTGGAATGGATCGAGGGTGCTTGGCCGACGTGAGAGACGACTCGAACAGCCAGTGGTCTCTTTTGCGTCCCCAAACATGACGCCGAGAAGTGTATTTTGAACTGTCTCGATCGTTGACGCTGAAGTGTACAAAGCAAGCCACGCTCATTTCTGTTTCATTCAAACAAAACACACAAGACTCCAAGCTATATATTATGTGCCTGGCCTACGCCGGACACAGGCTGCCGTGGTACTTACTCATGCTAGTAATGAAAATCATAATCGAGACCTCAGCACGGGCTGTGCCTGTTCGTCCCTCTGCAACCCGATTTCCGTCCTGATCGTGCCTTGCTGATGCAAAGGTTCCGCCACGACTGTGGCTTTGATTCGACGCCCAAAATACTCAATTTCGACGCCGTCCCCGACATTCACCTCGATCGGCAGGTAGCCATAGGCGATGGGCTTCCTAACAGTAAACCCAAAAGCCGCATTCGTCACATAGCCGGCCACTTTGCCGCCAGCATAGACCGGTTCCTTTCCTAGGACCACCGATTGGCCATCATCGACAGTGAAGCACCGCAGTCGCCGAGATGGCTTCACAGTCGAGAGCCGTCTGAGGGCCTCGTATCCGACGTAGCCCGTCTTGTCCGCGTCGACGGCGAGCGCCAAACCAGCCTCGAGCGGATTGTGCTCGGTCGTGACATCAGCGCCGTAACTGCGGAATCCAGCCTCGAGCCGCAGCGCGTTCAAGGCGGCCCGCCCCGCGGCCACGACGCCGTGGGCCTGACCGGCGTGCCACAGCAGATCCCAGAGGCGCTGGCCGTGCTCGGCAGTTGTGTGGATCTCGCAGCCGGGCTCGCCAACAAACGACACGTTCATCACCGTCACGGGGATCTGCGCCACCGTGGCCGTCTTGGCGCGGTACGGCGGCAGGCCCGTTTCGGACATGTCGTCCGGGCTCAGGGACGCCAGCACGGCCAGCGCGCGCGGGCCCCAGAGCCCGATGCAGCAGGTCCCGCCCGTGATGTCGCGCACCTGTGCGTACCTTTCGGGGGACGCCCGGCTCTGCGCCCGCGCCGCCCGCGCGAGGTACGCGTGGTCGACGGGCCCGTTGACGGCGAGCTGGAAGCTGTCGTCCTGCAGGCGGCCACGAATATGTCGCTCTGACGCCGGCCCTGTCGTCGAGAGCAGCGTGAACGTGA